GATGCTTATCTAGTTGATAGCTTGGATGAGTTCGAACATGGGTCATCTCGGATGAAAAAGTAGGTCACCGGAGCTAAAAAATAGAAAAACCTTGTTAACACTTTAGCGGTCACATTTTTGCATCAATCATCATCAAACTTGATCAAGATGCTTGTCTAGGTAATAACTCGGATGAGTTCGAACATGGGTCATCTCGGATGAAAAACTAGGTCACAGGAGCTAAAAATAGAAAAACCTTGTTAACACTCTAGTGGTCACAATTTTGACTCAATTGTCATCAAACTTGGTCAGGAAACTTGTCTAGGTCATTGCTGGGAATAAATCGAACATGGGACATCTTGGATGAAAAACTAGGTCACAGGAGCTAAAAATAGAAAAATCTTGTTAACACTCTAGTGGCTACTGTTGTGATCCAAATATTCTGTTAATTGGTCTGAAAGTTTGTTTTGATGATTTCTAAGTCAAGATCGAACATGGGTCATCTTGGATGAAAAAACTAGGTCACACCGCCCAAATATGGAAAAACCTTGTTAACATTCTAGTGGTCACATTTTCGACTCCATTATCATCAAACTTGGTCAGAATGCTTGTCTAGGTAATTGCTTGGATGAGTTCGAAATCGCATGTGAAACTAGGTCACCGGAGCTAAAAATAGAAAAAATCTTGTTAACACTCTAGTTGCTACTGTTTTGATCCAAGTATCCTGGAAATTGGTCTGAAAGTTTGTTTGGATGATTTCTAGGTCAAGTTTGAATATGTGTCACCTGGGTAAAAAAACTAGGTCGCACTGCTCAAATATGGATAATCCTTGTTAACACTGTAGTGGTCACATTTTTGACTCACCTGTCATGAGACTTGGTCAGAATGCTTGTCTAGGTAATTGTTTGGATGAGTTTGATAATTCAGGTGAGCGATCTAGGGCCATCATGGCCCTCTTGTTAACAAAACTGTTTCCTGTGATCACTTTTAAAGAAATTTTCCAACAAATTTACTATAAAAACATTAGTGAATGGCCAATGGCCCTTCAGAATGTTGATGGGGTTCCATCGGTAGGGGACTTATGGATTGCTTGCAATACTATGATAATTGCTTGTTTTTTTACACAACTGAATCATGCATATTTGATGAAAGTCTAATTGTGATCATAAGTTGGTAGTCTGTACAAACAATGCTAAAAATGAACTACTATATTAAAAGGTCACAAGAATTTGACCTTCTGTAGGTGACCCTACATAAAGCATAAAGCGCAATATAGTCTGTATGGTAACTTTAAATTTAATGACATAAAGACAAATATTATGCAATAATTCACACCTTTTGATCCTTTAGATTCGATGGTGATTGACATTTTATTAGATCATTAAATATAGCAAGAAACTGTTTGTGTAGACATAATTTCCCTGTGGCACGTTTATTTGAAATTTATTGAAAAAATGAAAATTATTTGATTCATAAAGAAGATCGGCTGTTTTATTTTCTTAATGATATTCAAGATGATGTTCGATATTTTTCGCAATTTTTTGACTATCAAAGTCAGAAATATTTAAAGGATTTAAAACAAAGTGTATATACATGATTGTATTATAAATTGGAAACATTTATATATTTTGAAAATTTTCAAAATTCGGTAAAGTCACATTATTTTAAATATTGTTACTGTCGCACCTTTATACAGTTGTAGCAAAAAGTGTCCAGAAGTTAAAAAAACTACCAATGAGATCAGATAAAAATTGAACAAAAATATGTAGCGGCTTATTTTATAAAAAATTTCGTATTGTTAAGTGGTGATTTTGTGCACATGTTTCTAATGCTTTGATGAAACTTTACAACACCGTTCTGTTATATTTAGGATTGACTTTTATTGCAGTTTCAAAACAACAATTCTTCCAATGACAGACTTTCAAAATATAGCTAGAAATGATATGTTTGTAGGTGTTGAAATAAATAAGTGGTATCTTTAGGGATGTGATATTGTGCAAAATTTTAATTGGAATATAGCGCGAAAATGAGAAAATAAATATGGCTTGTATTTACATTTCTTTGATGCAGAGGAGAAATTTAATGATGTAAGAAGTGTTTAATTTATGTCAGACTCTAATATGATAACATCTGACATTATTATTTAAGTCAAGAACTTTCTGGAGAATTGAGGCAAGAACAATAATATTGCTTAATTTCGTATAGTATCATATTACAGCATAATTTAATATCGTATACCTGAGTGACACTAGCACAGTCAGTGTGAAATTTTTTGCATATGTTCATTTTACGTTTACATCATGGTATAATTATGTTGAATATATATATAATATTATGTTACGGAACATTGTATAATTAAATAAAGAAATACGAGATGATCAACAGTTTATATGTCAAGAAAACTTGCACTGGTTTTAATTACTGTAATATACATGTGCAAAAAACGTAAAAATATAGCAGAACGAAACAGTCACTTGACAGAAGAGAAATTCATTGTTGGCTGAGAAATAACCCAATTGGCAATTACAAATATTTTAATTAAAGAAATGGAGTATTTAAGGTCATTTCGGAGGTCCAGAAAAAGCTTTGAAATAGCTACTATTGGCCTGTTCTCGAAAAAGGTGATTTTCTGTTTACTTTTATTTTTTGGTTTGGGTTTTTACACAGGTGAATATTCTTATGGCCAAAGCTGACATGCAATGAACCATGTATTGTAACATGTATTCTTTCGCTCATGAGCTCAATCAGGGTTGGAATATTTTGGTTTTGACATAAGCTAGGCTTGTCCATTATGTGTGAAGCATTTCTTTACTTGTCCTTAAGATATTAATAATAATAATTCTGAATATTTCATATGTCTGTACCAGCTGTAACGGACAACCTGGGGCAATACAGACATTTGATTCTGTGTGCAGATGTGTTTTATTTCCAAAAGAGAACCACCATTTCAGATAATTTTAAATGACTGTAAATTTGTGGAATTTTCTATATCTAAGGGAAGATTTTGAGCATGAATTATAATGATTTTCTGCAAAAGTCAAGTCTAAGTTTTGGGATTGGAAATTGATTGTACACCATTCATCACAATGGCGACACTAAATTGTCAAAGGCATATGTTATGATTCATTTATGATTATTTTTTAGCCGAAATTACATTTTTCAGCTAGTCTCATCATGCTATCATGCTATCATTAATTTGTTATCATCATTGTCCAAGCTAAAAAAACATTGCTAGTGCACTCTTAAAATCAGTAGGTATGATTAGATACTCTGCTCACCAAGTTGCTTAGATTAACACATAAATGTTTTTAATCACATACCAATGCTTATTTCGCTACTCTGTAAAAATGGTATTGCCTGGCATCTGTGTGCATATATTTTGACCTGACGCTATTTGCATTATACAAGCAAAGTGTGAAGACACACCAAATGTTAGCACACAGGAACTTGAAACTCTATCAATATTAATGATAATATCCAAAATATACCCCCTATACAGTATAAATAAACATTAATTTTATAAATATATAAATATAAAATAAATATATTTATAAATAAAGTTTATTTATACTGTATAGGGGGTATATTTTGGATATTATCATTTATATTGATAGAATTTCAAGTTCCTGTGGTTTTAAGTGTTACACTATAGGCGCTTTAATGAAAATCAATTCTTTTGCACTGTTAACATTCTTTATTTTGGGTATGTGATAAATTGAATGTAATATTCGTGTATGTTCATTAAATGTATTGAACTCGTTGAATTAAATAATATTTTGCTCACATAATATGATTTTATTCAACAAGTTCAATAAATTCAGCATTGAACCTACACTCATTTAATATCCTCTATTTCTTAAATTGATCACTAAAAAATGCACTGAATGCTTTGGCCATCACATTAAACATATCTCACTTTTCCATTTTAATATATCAGACTAATGCTTTAATGTTGATAATTATAGCATAATATGCATGTATGTGTGTGTGGTACGGTGGGCATGTGTGTGTATACCTTTTTTTATTTAGTAGCCAATCCTGTGCCAAGTATTGAAGCATCTATGAGTTTGAAGATGAGATTTTGTGTAATAGTCTTGCTCAAATGTATGCCCTCTTTTTGCATCATTTTATAATAGTGGTACTGATTGGTGAGAAAGTGTGTGGTTGAGACTGTATGTGACGGCACTATTGTTTCATTGGCATGGATCCAGTATACCCAGGCTTGTCATTGGAATTTTTTTGAGACATATTTTTTTTGAGGCAGTCATTTTTGGGTTATTAATAGGTGTTTCCTTATGTTGAGACTGTAAACAGGCAAGAAATACCAAAAATTAACCACTTTCAAATGCTAATATGTTTGCATATAATTACAAAGTTAAAACAGTGAAGAAAATAGTACAATGTTTAAAGCACTTAGGACCTCATTTTGTTATAGTGACCGATCGGTCAGCCCACACATATTTAACAGAGCGTATGCTAGTTTATGGTCTGTTCAGTGTTTGGGGCTGACTCAGAGGGAGGTCACTATAATGCTCTAAAGAGAATAGAAGCGCTGTGTGCTTTTCCTTATAAAAATTATACTGTACTTAATTAGAGCATAATGGTAAAAGTTCAACATGGAAGAAAATCATAATGTTTGAATAACAAGAATTCTAGTAGAATGACTACTGAATAATGTTGTCCGTCAGCATGTATAATATAATGTGCGTTGGGTAAAATATTTCTCGGTATTATATTCCATTAAATTTTAGTAATCCAACAAAAACAATAGTTCTCACTAACAGGCGGTCACGATACTTTTTTGTATCATCACGGACATCTTTGTGAATATTATTTTATTTAAAGAATGTGCAAAGTTTTGTAAGGTATAATATTTTGAGTATATAAGAGATAATATAAAAATAAAATAAAATGAAATATATTTTTAAATTACATGTATCTCTTAATTATATACTTTCCTCTCAAATTTGGCATGCTCTGAATTCATTGTTTCTAATTATTTGCCGTAAATCTATTTATAGCAAAAACCAGAGAACAGAAATGAGGGCGTGGCTAGCAAAAAACAGGCTGGCAGACCGGCAGGCTATGAAAATATGTCACAAACGTTACCCACTAAAACACAAATTCTAAACCAGGGAGATACTGTGACACGTTACACCAAAGATCCTACAAGTAAATCCAACAGTCAAGAGGTATTATAATTGTTTGAATGCGCTTAGTCTAAAAGAGAATTTGTATCATTGTTAGGAGATCTTTGTATTGAAAATGTGTCCGAGTTAAATCATAAAACCGTACATGCACAGTGCATAAATATTAGTTACCAGCACTGCAGTTACCGCACTGAGTGTCAGCATGCTTGTTTATTGGTTCATGTTTTCTGGTGTTTACTTATTGTGGCAACAGTTAAAAGTTATATTCAGATGCTCGCACTTTGGTTGGTGGTTCATTCATTTTAGTGGGAGAGGTTAGGGAGTGGTAATGGTGCATTGGGTATGGGTAGGGGGCTGGTAATGGTGGGTAGGGGAGAGGTAAAGAGCAGGTGATGATGTAGAAGGGGGCCATTGTTTAATAAATAGTTTACCTTGAATTGGTAGATACTAGAAATTAATATACAAAGGACATCTAAATACAGGTTAATGCAAAAAGCACAGGATAACTGCTAGAAATTATTGATAAGAAATTGAGATCCATCTATTGAACAAAAATAAAGATTCCATATAAACTATACTGTGTTGGTGCAACATAAAACCCTACCCCTCCCCCCCCCCCCCCCCCCTCCAAAAAAAAAAAAATTGTTTATATATAAACACAGAATGTAAATGTGTAAATATTAATACTGGCACGATTGGTTTATGTAACTATTAATCATGGCACAAATATGTTTAATAATAGCAACAAGGAAGTTCCAAAATCATGGGCATGACCACAACATGAGTTTTATCTATTATTATGTTAATCAATGTTTATTATCAATTTTGGTACAATAAATATTCACAAATATTTGTTTAAAAGATAATATGGATAGTTTACATAAAACAAGGTTTGCAATACGAAAAGTTTAATCACTCCTACATTGGTATTTGGTCAGTTTATTTACACATAGACTGAAAATAAGATTAGATAATATCAATTTATAATCTGAAGTTGAATCATTATGCTTTCTTTTCACTTGCCATGCTTAAAGTTGTGCTTTAATGTTTCTCTTCAATTGCCTTGCTTAAAGTTGTGCCTTAATGGTTTCTCTTAATTGCCTTGCTTAAAGTCGTGCCTTAATGTTTCTCTTTAATTGCCTTGCTTAAAGTTGTGCCTTAATGGTTTCTCTTTAATTGCCACGCTTTCTCTTTAATTGTCTTGCTTAAAGTATTGCCTAAATGCTTTTCTTTTTTATTGCCATGCTTTCTCTCTAATTGCCTTGCTTAAAAAATGTGCCTTAATGTTTTCTCTTTAATTGCCTTGCTTAAAGTTGTGCCTTAATGGTTTCTCTTTAATTGCCTCGCTTTCTCTTTAATTGCCTTGATTAAAGTTTTGCTTTAATGCTTTTCTCTTTTATGGCTAAAATGCTTTCTCTTTAATTGCCTTGCTTAAAGTTGTGCCTTTGTGTTTTTAGCTCACCTGTCACAAAGTGACAGGGTGAGCTTTTGTGATCGCTTTTCGTCCGGCGTCCGGCCGTCCGGCGTCCGGCCGTCCGTAAACTTTTACTTTAAATGACATCTCCTCATAAACCACTAAGCCAATTTCATCCAAACTTCACAGGAATGTTCATTTGGTGGTCACCTTTAAAAATTGTTCAAAGAATTTAATTCCATGCAGAACTCTGGTTGCAATGGCAACCGAAAGAAAAAACTTTAAATATCTTCTTTTAAAAAAACCATAAGAGCTAGAGCTTAGATATTTGGCATGAAACATCTTCTAGTGAGTGTCTACCAAGTTTGTTCAAATAAAAGCCCTGGGGTCAAAATTGGCCCAGCCCCAGGGGGTCATTGATTTTCCCTATATGCATATAGTAAAAACTTAAAAAATCTTCTTTTAAAGAACCCAAAGAGCTAGAGCTTAGATATTTAGCATGAAATATGTTCTAATGGGTGTCTACCAAGTTTGTTCAAATAAAAGCCCTGCGGTCAAAATTGGCCCCGCCCCGGGGGGTCATTGATTTTCCCTATATGCATATAGTAGAAACTTAAAAAATCTTCTTTTAAAGAACTCAAAGAGCTATGGCTAAGATATTGAGCATCAAACATGTTCTAATAGGTGTCTACCAAGTTTGTTCAAATAAAAGCCCTGGGGTCAAAATTGGCCCCGCTCCAGGGGGTCATTGATTTTCCCTATATGCATATAGTAAAAACTTAAAAAATCTTCTTTTAAAGAACCAAAAGAGTTAGAGCTAAGATATTTAGCATGAAACATGTTCTAATAAGTGTCTACCAAGTTTGTTCAAATAAAAGCCCCGGGGTCAAAATTGGCCGCGCCCCGGGGGGTCTTTGATTTTCCCTATATGCATATAGTAAAAACTTAAAAAATCTTCTTTTAAAGAACTCAAAGAGCTATGGCTAAGATATTTAGCATCAAACATGTTCTAATAGGTGTCTACCAAGTTTGTTCAAATAAAAGCCCTTGGGTCAAAATTGGCACCGCCCCGGGGGTCATTGATTTTCCTTATATGTGTATAGCAAAAACTTAAAAAATCTTCTTTGAAAAAACCCAAATAGCTAGAGTTAAGATATTAAGCATGAAACATCTTTTAGTGAGTGTCTACAAAGTTTGTTCAAATAAAAGACCTAGGGTCAAAATTGGCCCCGCCCCGGGGGTCATTGATTTTCTTTATATGTGTATAGCAAAAACTTAAAATCTTCTTTGAAAAAACCCAAATAGCTAGAGTTTAGATATTAAGCATGAAACATCTTCTAGTAAGTGTCTACAAAGTTTGTTCAAATAAAAGCCCTGGCCCGGCCCCAGGGGGTGTCATTGTTTTTAACTATATGTGTATAGTAAAAACTGAAAAAAAATCTTCTTTTAAAAAAGCCCAATGAGCTAGAGCTTAGATGTGTAGCATGAAACATCTTCTTCTGGGTGTCTACCAAGTTTGTGCAAATAAAAGCCCTTGGATTAAATTGGCCCTGCAACGTTGGGGGGGGGGGTGGGGTTGGGGGGCCTATATACAGGTGAGCGACCTCAGGGCCATCATGGCCCTCTTGTCTCTTTTGTTGCCTTGTTTAAAGTTTTGTCATAAAGCTTTTTGTTTAATTGCCTTGTTAACAGTAGTGGCTTAATGCTTTCTCTTTGCCTTCCTTAAAGTAGTGTCATAAGGCTTTCTCTTTAGTTGCCTTGCTTAAAGTTGTGTCATAAGGCTTTCTCTTTAGTTGCCTTGCTTAAAGTTGTGTCATAAGACTTTCTCTTTAGTTGCCTTGCTTAAAGTTGTGTCATAAGGTTTTCTCTTTAGTTGCCTTGCTTAAAGTTGTGTCATAAGGTTTTCTCTTTAGTTGCCTTGCTTAAAGTTGTGTCATAAGACTTTCTCTTTAGTTGCCTTGCTTAAAGTTGTGTCATAAGACTTTCTCTTTAGTTGCCTTGCTTAAAGTTGTGTAATAAGACTTTCTCTTGAGTTGCCTTGCTTAAAGTTGTATCATAAGGTTTCATTTAGTTGCCTTGCTAACAGTACTAGAAAAAAACAGGGTAAATTCTGAATGAGAATTTACAGAACCTGTACATTACTTTCAGAATGAGGAGAATACAGATGAAGAAGAAAATTATGGTAATGTTGCCATGATCAAACTAGCTAAGAAGACTGATCTCACAAATAAAGGACAAGATGATATGAAAGATATGCTGGAGATACAGGAACTAGGGGAGGCACCAAAAGCTCCAATGCCTTTGCCATCTTCTAAGGGCAAGAAAAAAGGAAAAGGTATTGTGAAGAGTTTTTCTCAAAGGGTGAGCAAAAAGTTTGGAAGAATGAAAGGTAAAAACAACTACAGAAATCTGGGTGACAGAAGGCTTGGCTAAGCATGTTAGAGATATGATGAAATCTAGATGGCTAGGTGCTTGCCAGTATGTGAGATTCATAATTGAATAGATCTGGATGAATGGATGCTTAATGGATGGGTTTTTTTAGTCGCTTGCCACAAAGAAGCAGTAACATTTAATGATCACTTGTCCGTTGTCTGTCCATCCATCTGTCCTTGTCTCAACTACATTTCAGAAATTACATGTACTCATGCAATTTTATCCAAACTTTAAAGAATGATAAGTAACAAGTCTTGTTCTGCATATCCAGTTAAATGATTTTTGCCCTTAAATGATTTTTTAGCTCACCTGTCACAAAGTGAGAGGGTGAGCTTTTGTGATCGCATTTCGTCCGGCCTCCGTCCGTGGTCCGTCCGTCCGTAAACTTTTACTTTAAATGACATCTCCTCATAAACCACTAAGCCAATTTCATCCAAACTTCACAGGAATGTTCCTTTGGTGGTCACCTTTAAAAATTGTTCAAAGAATTTAATTCCGTGCAGAACTCTGGTTGCCATGGCAACCGAAAGAAAAAACTTTAAATATCTTCTTTTAAAAACCCTAAGAGCTAGAGCTTAGATATTTGGTATGAAACATCTCCTAGCAAGTGTCTACCAAGTTTGTTCAAATAAAAGCCATGGGGTCAAAATTGGCCCCGCCCCAGGGGGTCATTGATTTTTCCTATATGCATATTGTAAAAACTTAAAAATCTTCTTTTAAAGAACCCAAAGAGCTAGAGCTTGGATATTTAGCATGAAACATGTTTCTAATGGATGTCTACCAAGTTTGTTCAAATAAGAGCCCTGGGGTCAAAATTGGCCCCCACCCCAGGGGGTCATTGATTTTCCCTAATGAATATAGTAAAAAACTTAAAAATCTTCTTTTAAAGAACCCAAAGAGCTAGAGCTGAGATATTTAACATGAAACATGTTCTAATGGATGTCTACCAAGTTTGTTCAAATAAGAGCCCTGGGTCAAAATTGGCCCGCCCCGGGGGACATTGATTTTCCCTTATATGTGTATAGCAAAAACTTAAAAATCTTTCTTCGAAAAAACCAGAATAGCTAGAGTTTAGATATTAAGCATGAAACATCTTCTAGTAAGTGTCTACAAAGATTGTTCAAATAAAAGCCCTGGGGTCAAAACTGGCCCTGCCCCAGGGGTGTCATTGTTTTTAAATATATGTGTAAAGAAAAAACTTAAAAAAATCTTCTTTTTAAAAACCCTTAGATGTTTAGCATGAAACATCTTCTAATGGGTGTCTACCAAGTTTGTTCAAATAAAAACCCTGGGGTTTAAACTGGCCCCGCTCCGTGGGGCCTATACACAGGTGAGCGACTTCAGGGCCATCATGGCCCTCTTGTTTAAAATTTTATCTGGACTACATCTTTTATACTAGTAATGCAATTTAATTGAAACTTTACAGGGTTTTCCTGTTGAATGATTTTTGGCTGAGTAATGGTCCTTGAATGAAAAAGGCATTTTGGCTTGTTAATACTAATAAGTAGCCTAGCCTTATAAGAATCACTTCTTTGTTGTCTGACTTTCTGTCGACCAATCATTAGTTTGTCAGTCAGTCTGTTCATCCCAAAACTTGTCTGGACTACTTCTCAGAAACTACTACAGGTGCTATTTCATTCAAAAATAACAGAAATGATCAGTATCAAGTCTAGTTGTGCATTTTCTGGCATTTTTTCAGTTGTATAATTTTGTCAGATTTATGGCCCTTTAATTATTTTCTTTTGTTTATTTAAACTTTTGTCTAGACTACTTTTCTTTTTCTAATTAAATTGAAACTCAACAAGATTGATCAATACCTCAAGTTCTTGCGCATAATTTATGGGTTTTCCAGTTGAATGATTTTTTGCTGAGTTATTGCCCTTGACTAAAAAAAGGGTTTTGGCCTGTGAATGAATTTTGTGTCTCATGCTACACAGCAGTTAAAACATGCTACAAAGTAGCAACAACATACTGGAACAAACTGGTCAATCACCCCTCAATACAACTGTTTAATTGGCTATATCATCAGGCGACTCTGTGATCACTGATCACTTTTGTTTTTTAATGCATGTTGGGATTAAAATGAAAAAAAAAATATGGGGTGATTGTCTTTTATGGCTTTGCATGTTAGGAGTATGAATTGAAGCTTGGTGAATGAAGTTGCTGGCTGTTTGGTTATAAATAAGTTGCCGAGTTCCAGAATTTCTGTATGGGGGACATGTAGAGCTAAATATAGAAGTACTGTAGTAAGCTTACGTCTCAGGTAAGCTATACAGGCCCTTCAGGTCCTCTTGGTTTGAAAAAATTGTATTTTTGGAGTTTCATTTTATTTTATTTTGTTTGACGGAAACCTTTATTGCTTGTAATCAAGATTTGGCTAGTATATGGTTGTGGTTTAATCATTTTTACTTTCTTTTGTTTAAATTAGACTTCAGAAATTTTCTTTTGGGATGGTTGCATGTACAGGTACTTTGCTTGTATCTTTGTCAGAATATATTATATACATATATGTATCTATTTTTTTCAATTCAGGGCACATATTTCTTTGTGTTACCAATAACAATTTTAACATAGCAAATGTTTGCCCTGGAAACTCTTTTATACAGGGGGCAATTATGTCAGCCCTTCAAAAATTTTAGAGGGTAAATGTCTGTCTTTTAAGAATTAAGGGGGCAAAAAATGGCCGCCGCGCTGTTTAAAATAGGGGCAAACTTCTTGGGGGCAAATGTTTAGATGTTGCAAATGTCCGTTTTCCAAAAAAACTTGATGTTGATAAAATTCATAAAATGGCAGAATTTGAGGTATTTTGAAAAGTTCACAAATTTTATTACACCTATAACTGACTTTGATGGTACAAAATAAATAAAGCTAATAAACGGTACCACAATAATATTATGTCCTTTAGTTGTATAAGTTGTACCAGAAATTAACCTGATGTCGTTTTTTTTTTTAATGTACATGACTGTACTTCTCAGTTTCTTAATTTTCACACTTTATGCAAGGGCTTCAAATGACTTCACAGATTGTGATTGTAATAGGTGTCAAAATAAATAGTCACTGGAAGATACCGACATTTTGCAGGTTTTAATATAATCACAAGTATGATAACAATCTTTCACACCCTTTTCAATTTCCAAAAGTGAAAGTAAATATTAATTTATGTAACCCAAATTTTTCCAGAAAATTGTTTGAAATTTAGAAGTTCATGATTTATCTTCATCTTGTATGTGGCATGAATTGGAGTTATGAATTGCGTAGAAAACAGGAGAAATAATTCGGGACCCTGAAAATTTTTTGGATTTCTGAAGTTTCCAGATTTTAGAAGTTCTGAAATTCAGAAGTTACACTTTACCATAATTTTAGACAGTTATTACAAGTTAAACAAAAATAGAAACTGCATGAATTTGAGTTTTATAAACTCTCGTGAACATTATTTTGTGACTCACATATACAACAGAACTCCCTAAAAAGATAATGCATGCATCCAAAATATGTGTCTTATTTGAAACTGCATCCGCAGCAATATTATTGCATGTACGCAAGGATTCAAAAGCAGTGTTAATTGACAGTTTAACACCACCACTGTAATGATTTATCCGTGCTTGTAGGGGTAAAATTGCAAATCATTAGAATTATTATGTAAGTTGCAGAAAATAATTATAATTTGAAATTTGATATTGATAGAAGAAAAGTGGGCAGAGATAAATTTGTAACAGCAAGATGTAAGAATGTTAAATGGTTTGCTGGAAATTTATATTAGTGTAAATGATCAGACAAACATGTACACCTGTGTTTCTTTAATAAAACACTGTACTGAATCTGCTACACAAATTAATTAATCTTAAAAAAAAATCTTGTGTCTCTTATCAATTATTATTGAATCTAATGGTGTTGTTGCCAGGACAGTGGCAGGTCTAGTTTTGACACTGTACTGAACTTGTACAAAAGTTAAAATGGCTTAATTAGTAACCATTTTTATTACCATGCTTTTTTTTCATTGACTCTTCTCTGAAGTTTCAAAACAAAGAACTGTATAATTGACAGCATTATAAGTAATCATATAATTAATTTTTCTCCCATATTTTCAGAGAAAAGTAGTGCCCCCAAACCTGAGGAGCATATCCCTGAAGATTATGTGGATATGTCAGGTGAGCAAAAGCAGTCTGCAGAGAAAGCTGGTACCAGCAAGGCTGAGAGTCGGGACTCGTCAGAACTAGAAGATTATGAAAATGTGAATTATAAAGATATTCCAGTGGGAAGAAAAGCTGCTGTAAGTAAAGTAACAGAAACCAGCCCAGAAGAAGGAATGGAAATTTATGAGAATGCGCCCGGACCAACGTCGAAGAAAACTGATGGAAATAACTCTGATATGGAGGATTATGAAAATACTAAGGAATTAAAACTGGATAAAAGTAAAAAGCCTAAAGGCAAAGGGAAAGCAAAACCGAAAGCAGATGAAAATGAAATGGAAGATTATGAGAATATGCAAGATTTAGAATTATATGAAAATGTGCATGTAAGTCGTAAGAAGTAAAAAAAACAACAACAACAAAACTGAATCACATAAAAAAATACACAACAGTTGGCAAGGTTGTGAATAAGTTTTCAGTTTTCAGAACTGTATTCAGCTTACAGATGAATGATTGGTGAAATTCAGACTTAAAGGTTTAAGATTGGTCATATTCAAATTTAAAGACTTATGATTGGTCATATTCAAACTTAAAGGTTTATGGTTGGTCAAATTCTGACTTAAAGGTTTATGATTTGTCATATTCAAATTTAAAGACTTATGATTGGTCATATTTAAATTTAAAGACTTATGACTTTAAGATTGATCAAATTCAAATTTAGATTCTGGATATTCAAACTTGACTTATTTTTTTAGATAAAAAAAATGAACAAAAATATATGTATTAAATTTGCAAAGTATGCGAAATATGTTGGGGAGAATGCTTTTTGTTAAGTATAAACTCAGGTCTTGAAAATTTGCCAATCAGTGTACACAATTTTGTTTTATTTATTCTAAAACTAGTCTTTAAATTGGAACTGCTTTGGAAATGGTTTTTGTTTTAATTGAGAAATTATATTTGAAATGGTAGATAGCAGGTCATATTTTTCAAGATTTTAAAGCCTTTCCTATAAAAACTGTTGTCTTAATCTTAGATTTTTTTATCTGCTTCTTTGTAAGTATTTACTTAAGTCATGCAATTAGCTTTTTATCCCCCGCCAATGGAATTGGGAGGGGGATATAGTTTTGGCGTTGTCCGTCCGTCCGAATTTCGTTTCCGGAGTAGTTTTCTGCAGAAAACTACTGGCTTGGAATTCAACGAAACTTTATGGGAATTCATCATATCAAGAAGAGATGCGCATACCGTCGCTTGTTCCGGTCCGACCTTTAACTCAGAGTTATGGCCCTTGATAAGTTATGTAGTATGCATATAGAGTAAAAATCGTTTCCGGAGTAGTTCTCTGGGGCAACTACTGGGATGGAATAAACGAAACTTTATGGGAATCATCAATATCAAGAGCGAGATGGGCATAATCGTCGGCTTGTTCCTCGGTCAGACACTTTAAACTCAGAGTTATGGCCTTGATTAGTTATGTATGTATGCATATAGAGTAAAAATCGTTTCCGCACTTCTCTGCAACTACTGGCTGCGAATTCAACGAAACTTTGGGAATCATCAATACAAGAAGAGATGGCGCATATCGTCGGCTTGTTCCGGTCAGACACTTTAACTCAGAGTTATGGCCTTGATTAGTTATGCAGTATGCATATGGAGTTAAAAATTCTGTTTCAGACCCTTTAACTCAGTAGTTATGGCCCTTGATTAGTTTATGTAGTATGCATATAGAGTAAAAATCGTTACTGCACTACTTCTCTGCAACTACTGGCTGGAATTCAACGAAACTTTATGGACCTTCAATACCAAGAGGAGATATGTGCATATTCGTCGGCTTGCTCCGGTCAGACACTTTAACTCAGAGTTAGCCCTTGATTAGTTATGCAGTATCCATATAGAAAAATATTTGTTTCCTCGCTACTTCTCTGCTACTACTGCTGGAATTCAATGAAACTTTATGGGATACTAAGAGTAGATGTGCATATTAGAGTCGCTTTTTCCATGTCATCCACATTACTTATAACTTCAGATTTATAAATGCTCTTTCAATATTATTATGTAGTATGTCTATGAACGATCAACATTGGCATTTCCAGATCCTTACTATTTACACAAAGTTATGGCTCTGTTATTGCCCTGAATATTTATCAAAGTTCAAAGAATATTACTGTTTATGCCATGATTAATATATAAATAAAGCCTTATGTCTTCAGTTGTTGTGTTAATAATAACCAGTACTCGGCGGGGGATATAAATTCAACGAATTTGCTTGTTGATATATGTTTCTATAAGATAATAGTATAATGATTAGGTTTCACACATTATTTAAGTAAGCTTTTCATTCTGTCTGCAGGGACCAACAATTCATTGCAATGAAAAATGAACCAAAAGATCCCCATTTGAATAAAACATTCTAAGCATGAACATGTTCTTCAATCAAACTATTATTCCAATATAACTGAAGTATTGAAGAATTGAATCAAAGAAATATCTAATTACTTTCCTTGCTTAATGTTAATTACTTCCTAGGTAGTACTAACTTGGTAGTCTTCAGTGAGTGTAAGAACGTAAATTCACATAACTTAGTATTGAATGATCTCTCTTTTGTGATATTTAATGCTTAGAGTATTCTATGGACAAATCACACAAGAATAAAATAGTTTAGTTTCTTTTTGGCTTACACGACCTTTATTGATTGAACATGATGTCATTTATATTTTGTCACCTCAGTGCAGTAACGGGTTAAGTCCATCTAAATATAATTTAACCATTTAACCAGTTATTGCACTAAGGTGACAAAAATTTTGGTAGGAACATAAATTTGGGCATAGTTAGGACTTCGGTCAAGGTCATTGGTGCCAAAAATAGATTTTTTACACATTTGTACATGCAGCCATTGTTTATTGGTTGATTTTTTAGCTCGACTTTTTTTTTTTTTGAAAAAAAAAAGTAGAGGTATTGCTATAGTCAGGTCGGCGTTGCCGTTGCCGTTGCCGTCTCCGTGCCGTTGCCGTTGCCGTCGAAACTTGTACCTGGATCATAACTTTTTTTTATTTCTTGGTGTATTGTCTTCATACTTGGCCACAACAACCCTTGGGACAAGACCTTTCAGTAGACCACACTAACCTTGACCTTCATCCATAAATGACCTTGACCTTCAAGGTTAAAAGTCCAATTTTTGCTTGTTCATGCTGTTATTGGCTGTTACTTTGTTACTTTTTGAATGGATTGTTCTCAAACTTGAAACATAATAATCTTCAAGGATATCCCTTAAAAATAACCAGTCAGACCTTGACATTCACTCATCCAATGACCTTGGACTTTGAAGGTCAAATTATTTGAAATTTTTATTTTTTTTTGGCTATTATTGCGCTGTAACTTTGTTATTTTTGAATGGATTGTTCTTCAAACTTGAACATAATAATCTTCAAGATAACTGTTAAAAATATACCGAAAGACCTTGACCTTCACTCATTAATGACATATGCCTTTGAAGGGTCAAATTATTGAAATTTTCATTGTTTTGGCAGTAACTGACTGTAACTTTGCATTTATATAAATGTGTGTGTGTATAATGTATATATATATATATATATATCAATATATATATAAATATATGTATATATATATATATATATATATATAATAATATATTTTTTTTTTGAATATATATACACGTATATATATATTATATTATATAATATATTTTTTTTAATATATATATGCATATTATAATAGATATATACATATATATAATATATTATAATATATATATTATATATATATATATTATATATATCTATATCGAAATCAAATATATATATATATACATGTGTATATATATATATATATATATACCATATATACACATATATATATTATATTATATATATATATATATCAAATATATATATATATACATATATAATACATCTGTATATATATATATATATATATATTTTTTTTTTTTTTTTGAAATATATATATGCATATATATATATAGATGTACATGTATATTATATATATATATATATATATTATATATATATATTTTTTTTTGAATATATATATATATATATTCAAAAAAAAAAAATATATATTATATACATGTACATCTCTATATATATATATATGCATATATATAATATTCAAAAAAAATATAAAAATTATATATATATATATACATGTATATATATATATATATGTATATATATATATATTGATATATATATATATGTATATATTATATATATATATATATATATAATATAACATATATTTTTTTTTTTAATATATATATGCATAGTATATAATATATATATATATATATAGATATATATACATATATATTATTTTTTTTTTTTTGAATATATATATGCATATATATATATATATAGATTATATATATATATATATTATTTTTTTTTTTTTGAATATATATGCATGTATATATATATATATTTTTTTTTTTTTTTAATATATATATGCATATATATAAATATATATATATATATATATATATATTAGATATAGAATATATATATATTATTTTTTTTTTTTTTTGAATAATATGCATGTATATATATACATATATATATATATATACATGCATATATATAATATATGACATGTATATATATATATATATTTTTTTTTTTTTTTTGAATATAATATGCATATATATATAGATATATAGATATATATATAGATATATATATATATACATGCATATATATTATATTGCATGTATATATATATACACACACAATATTATATATATATATATATAAATTGCGTCATTTTTTCTATTTTTAGAAATTGGCGTCATTTTTTTCTTATTTTTAGAAATTGTGTCATTTTTTTCTATTTTTAGAAAATGCGTCATTGTTGCTATTTTAGAAATTGCGTCATTTTTTCTATTTTTAGAAATTGCGTCATTGTTGCTATTTTTAGAAATGCGTCATTTTTTTCTATTTTAGAAATTGCGTCATTTTTCTTTTTTAGAAATTGTGTCATTTTTTTCTATTTTTAGAAATTGCGTCATTTTTTTCTATTTTTATGAAATTGCTCATTGTTGCTTTTTAGAATTGTGTCATTTTTCTATTTTTAGAAATTGCGTCATTTTTTTTCTATTTTTAGAAATTGCGTCATTTTTTTTCTATTTTTATAAATTGCGTCATTGTTGCTATTTTTAGAAATTGCGTCATTTTTTCTATTTTAGAAATTGCGTCATTTTTTTCTATTTTTAGAAATTGCGTCATTTTTTTTTATTTTTAGAAATTGCGTCATTGTTGCTATTTTTAGAAATTGCGTCATTTTTTCTATTTTTTAGAAATTGCGATTCATGTTGCTATTTTAAGAAATTGACGTACTGTTGCTATTTTTTAGAAATATGCTTAATGTTTCTATTCATAATATATTACAAAATATATAAAACAAAACTAATTGACAAGACAGACCAAACCTAAATTATAAAAAGGAACGTCAATATATGTTCAAAACCTTTCGTATGTTTGCGTTTAGAAAAAAAGCTAAAAAAGTCGAGCGTTGCCCCCGCCCGGCGGTGGCTCTTGTTTAATATATGGTATGTAAGTAGGTAACCTTTTAAATTTTTTTTTAATGTAATTAAGGGTCACTGGGCTCAAGGTCACTGGTTCTGAAAAATGAAAACGAGCTTTTGCACTTACTGCCTTTTTAAACTTATTTTTTTTTTTATATGCATTGAAATACTTTGACATATGTGCAAGTTCTTGTTCCAAATATTAAAGTTTTTCAGCCAATGTCAATCTGTGCCAGTTTGATGAAAAAAGTTCATTGTATACTGATATTTGGAGGAAGGCACAATAATTCCTTCCACTTGTTTGGCACTGGTGACGGTCCATAAAAAAATGATCAATTTTTTTCCATTCCAAGCAACTCATGTAGTCATTTTTTTTCATTACTTCATAATTACATTGTATGTTCATCTTGTTAGATTGTTTTATTATAATTTGTATGTACATGTTTAAGTGCCATAAGTGTCATAGACAAGGTTGTATATGTTTATATGTAAACGTGCTACATTATTTTAATGGTAACTACTATATTATGCAACATTACTTTTATGATAACTATTACATTATGCAACATTACTTTTATGA